CAGTTATCCAACTTAATTGAAGAGATATTAAATTTTACTGAAAATAATATAAGTAATGTATTCTTTACCATGAATAAAACCAATTACATCACACAAAAAGCAGTTAATTGGGTTCTTTTGACCTTTAATATTTTATGTAATGGATATTTAATAAGAGCCCAGTATTATGGTAGCTCAGCCATCTTTTAAATGGAAATTAATTTCTGCTAATATGTTCTTCATATCATAACAGTTAATTGGCTGTAATCTAAACATATTATGCAGTAGTGTTAATAAAACTATTTTAAGTATCACAGCACCAATGACAGTTCATTGTAGTGCTTTGAAACTTGGTGATGTTAATTGTAACAGAAGTTTTAGAATGTTTATGTCTTTTAACTTAAAGAGGGTGGGAATTTCATGACACTTATGGTAACATTTAGGCTTCCTCCAACTGTACTATAATTACATGGAAACATAGTCTTAGACATAATCCAGTATGTGGTTTTCTAAGTGAGAAACAAGTATGTTGGTGTGGGCTCATACATTAGGCAACGAATTTTGGATATTGAAACTATTAATAGACACTTGTGAAGAATAGTGACAAAATGGTAAAATGAAAAATTTTGCTGAAGGAATAATGTAATGCATAAATGCAAGATTTTGTGTGTTTGATAACTGAGCGTCTTTCATGCTAGAAGTTAGAAATTTTGGCTAGAATGTTGCACTTAACAGTTCTTGATGTTTGTTGTGTACAGTGTGTATAAGGAATATGCATGTTAATTCTATGCCTGTTTTAAATTTACACTCTAAATGAGGAAATTAGCTTGAGTTCCTATACTATCTTTTTCTGTTTCTTAATCTTCTGTCTTTACTTTATTTTGAGATATTTTATCCTTTTTACTTTATATGTGTTTCATCATCAAGCTGAATGTATTGTGGAAGCTGACTTTCTTTCCCAAATATTATTTCATAATCTTTGTACATTATTTGAAAAACTTTTTTTATTTAAAGAAATTCTCCTTAATGTCTGGATATTGTGAAATGGTTATGAATGATTTTAAAATGGAAAGAAGAATTCTGTGTTTCAAGCATAGTATAAATGTTTCTGATGACAGCGTGTAATTGAAAAGTATACTATTATTTTTGTTATTGTCCATCTTGAGGTGCTTTGAACACGTTTCACAAAATGTACCTGTTTCTGTCATCATGTTTAAGGGAGGATATATTCCACTTATTTGGACCCATTAGAAAGATCTGATGTTCATCACTGGACACTAAAAGCAGTTTTTAGTAGAGCATGTATTCTGTTAATGTCAGAAATCATCAGTGGGATATAAGAAAAAATTGCCAATAAAAATTATGAATGAAACTGAAATCCCCTGTAACTTGGCTTACAATTCATCAAACATTCACTATCATGAAGTGTAGAAAGCTGTAGCAGGGTGTTTTGCAGGGCCAGTTTTACAGCTGTGGGGGCCCTGGGGCAATCAAAATGTGGCAGCCCCTATTAATATCTGTAAATTTAGGTTATGATCTTAATTGTTTTCGTTAGTATGTAATTGGAATTGCTAGAACATTCTGTAGAGCCCCAAAATTGATTTAAATTCTTTTCCTTAATTTGTTTTTTTCCCCTCATCTGTAACATATTTTTCAGTGAAAGATTTATGGTTCTCCTCATTCTGTCTTCCTCTTTACAGACAACAAACTGTATGGGATTTTCATTACACTTCCTGTTTTCCACCACTGAAGCCATATCCTTGCTATTAATATATTCTCACTTCCACCAGCATAACAGATATTTGTTGCTAAATCCTATCCAGCACTATGTAGCTGAATTCTATGCACATACAGTCAATTAAGATGCATTTTAATATTGTTCTTCCAGTTGTTCTGACTACCCGTTTTTATTACATAGTTCGTCTATGAAAATATTTTAACTGTATAGTCCCTCCTTTTATGTTAGATGCTCTGTGTTAATCACTTAGATTTAATGATTGTAACAGTACCAGGAAAGGTACATTAATTAATTTCATATTACATAATTTACTTAATTTCTGTGTTAGTCAGACTTCAGTTAGTTATTCTCCTTGCTTCCAGATACTTTTAATTTTGGACACGTAACTAACATATCTGTTTAGTCACCATGCATTTTTCACATATTGTTGTAACGATATTAATGGACTTTCAGTGCTGATTTTGTTTGCTGATTTAAGGCCATAAGTTAATTAACATTGTAGTTAGATCAGTAATTTTCCTTTCATTTGTCCTATCCAAATATATGAATATTCCTAACCTGTAAACCAGCAAACTCAGACACACAGTCTTGCATTTCTCATACAATTTCAGCACACAGTATCTCAATCAACACATCATTTTATATACACATGGAACTATCATTTATCTGTTCATGTCTCTAGCTCCCTTTTTATATAGTTAAAATATTACATGATGTATGTTAGGAAGATGAACAAGTCTTCTATCACTAAGATATTCATTAATTGCCATCTTCAGAAATATTCCATATTTGTTTGGAGATATTACTGTCCTGCTAGAATAATAATTGAATGGCTTTGAGGTGAGTTGAATTAACCTTAGGCCTCCATCCTTAGGATAGAAATTTCATACGGTAGCCTCCCCACCAAAGATTCCCATGAGATTTGAAGTTTCCATGGCCATGACCATGACCATGAAGGTCTTCCAGTATTTGATGCCCTGTAATTTAGTGGATACATGCCAACTTAAGATGGAGCCAGCAGGTTCCTTCAAAATATTGGTACCTGTCTGCAGTGCTACATGTTGTGGTATTCCATGTTCATATTCTTCATAGTTACCAGTGTGAGAACCTCATATCTCAAATTGTATCCATAGTTTGTCAGGGTTCCTAGAAAACTATGTAAGAACTTTCTCTCAGCAAAACTAACATAAGTGTGTGGACAGAGGGATTGGTTCAGAAGTACTCAGATTTTGATTTATCATGTACTTCACATATTCATAGTAAGCTTCTTGTTTCATGATCTGTAGTAAGGAAATAATGACCCTTTCAGTCAGTTGTGTCTTTTGTGATTTGTAACTAATCTATAAATTTATTGTGTAATTTGCTTCCAATCTTCTTTACCTAATGTAGTTCTGACACTAGAGTTTTGTTTGTGATGCACTTAATCCAAATCACTGTAGACTACTGGCTTTCCTGATTGAGTTTTTCTATATTTTCCCTCAGTCTTTCCAGGCAAGCATCTGTCTAGGATAACTTCATTCCAAATTTTTAAGTACTTGCCATTTATGTTTCTCCTCCCAAGTTGTTTGACCTGATAACCTCTGCAGTTGAAACAGCGTTGTTAAATAACATAAGAGCAAACTTGTCACCTCGTTCAGTCCTGTAAAAATATGTGGCTTATCTTGTAGTCAGTTAAAGTCTCTATAATCCTAATTTTCTTTTCATCTAATATTATGTCTTCTGAGAAATCTCTTAGAGTCTTAGAATGGTGTTGTGTCTATTTTTTTGTGTCCATAAGAAGTTTTATATTGTGATAGTCACAGGGATTCAGTGTTTAAAACAGGCATGGAATTTGATGCTAACTGTTTCTTCTGCAATACAAAAACATTAGATATATATGGAATTTGTAACCATTATATGTTGCTGCATATTCATGTCTGGCTCTCTCTTGTAGTACCTTTTCTTCATTCAAGGTTCAGTTTACTTTTGTAATACAGTCAGTTTGATAACTGGTAGTGTAAAATTCCATAATCTTGAATGTTGATTAAGCTTTTGAGTATAACTAGATATGAGCGAGTTACGTACTGTTTGAGGTATGCAATAAAATTTAATTGTAAAGTAAAGATGAACTCCTGTAACCTATGGATTTTGTTGTTTCTTTATTGTAAGTGCAAAATTTAGTTTTATTTAGATTTTGTAGTAGAAATGTGGTTAACAAAGCCATCCAATATATCTAATATAGTTGATTCGGAGCGATGATAATAATAATTTGCGGCGAGCCCTGTTACCGTTACAAAAGCAAAATATATGGATTGTTTCCTGGTTGCACAGTTCTAATGTTCTAAATTTTATGTACTGTATTACATCAGGTAAACTATTCCCACAGATCAATATTTAGAGGAAGGAAAGGTATGATTAGTTATTGATAGAGATTGTAGTTTTCCTAGTATTGAAATGTTAGATCATTACATTAATGTTACACCCAGTTTTATATAGATAAGTAACAAGACAAGTGTTCCAGATATCTATCAGTTTATATTCGATATCAACTTTCACCGATATTGATTTATAAGTATTTAATATTTAAAATGTTCAAAATTGTGTATTTTAAACAGCACATCTTTCATCCACAGACAGTAGTTGACTGAATCATAAATACGGTTCAAATTATGTCATTTTCATCCTTTTCCCTTTTATTGATATTTCAGTTTGGGTCAGATTCTGTTTCTGTTGCAATGTTAAAAACACAAATATTGTAAAACTACTTTCTCTATCATGTAATTGTAATTCTGATGGCTTGCCAATTGATATGTAGAAAGCTTAATCTGTGACAGACAAGGAGCCAGGATTCTTACAGACACAGTAGGTTATTTAGTTTGGAAACAGATATTTTGCATTTGTTGTGCACATACCTTCAGTTCAAAATTCATCTAATACAGACAAAGTACATTTCTTATTTATCAACTCTCTAACACTGATACAGCTGCTGTCTTTCATGCTGTGCGAATATCTCCAGTATTCCTGTATTAAATACTCTTATGAACTCATTACTTAGTATCCACTGGGTTCCTTTGATGTTCCCTAAGACAAAAATTTATTTATCTTCAGTATATACTATCATGTAAAAGTGATTAACAAAGTCTGGAATTGGTTGAACATAATTTTCATCGAAGACTCTGGCTTCTGAGTTGTTTACAAATTAAGTCTGGCAGATTATAAGAGTAGTTGCATATTTTCCTAATTTCTCTTTGTTTGACTATTTTTACTATTTGTTTACATTGCATGGTTTTGTTTCCATACCTAGGCCCAACGCAGTTCTAACGAGACTCGAGCACACACTGCTCCACAAACAGTTTCACATTTCACCAACGATCTGTTCCAAAGATTTCAACCTATGTCTGTTGATTCAGAATATCAACCCATACCAATCTCTCCTTATATTGAAGATCCAGGTTTGGCCTTTTGGGATCCCTGGGAAGATAGTATGGAACTTCCTGACAACACCAAATATAATAATCATTCTTCACACACAACTTTATGGAATTATCATGGATCAGAACAACAACTTAGAGCATTTGAAAATGATAAAAGACAATCTGGGTGGCAGAGACACACACATGATTATCAGAGTACTCAGAAAACTGTCATGTCTTCACATGAAACGTTCCAGACACAATCACATCATTCTCAGCAAAACCATCAGAAAACACTGCTGCATCATCAGTCATACCAACACAACCACCCTGAACTACCTCACCATAATGTACCACATCATCAAACTGAAATGCACCATCATGAACAACATTATCACCATGAACCACATCATCAAACTGAAATACACCACCATGAGTCACATCATCAGACTGAAATGCACCATCACAAACCACATTATCACCTTGGACCACATCATCAAACTGAAATGCACCATCAGAAACCACATGATCACCTTGAAACACATCATCAAACTGAAACGCACCATCATGAACCATATTATCACCATGAATCACATCATAAAACTGAAGTGCACCATCATGAACCACATTATCACCATGCAGCACACCATCAAACTGAACTATATCATGATCCACCTAATCAGACTGAACTGCAACATTATGAACCATATTATCACCATGAACCACATCATGAAACTGAAATACACCATCATGAACCACATTATCACCATGAACCACATAATCAGACTGAACTGCAGCATAATGAACCACATTATCACCATGAACCACATCATTATGAACTACAGCACCACCAGGAACAACTCAACCACAATCAAAGAGATCATAATCACCATGAACTTCATCAACACCACCATCACCAAGAATCTCCATCCCAGCAGCAACAACACCGTAATGATCAATACAGCCATGAACATAATGCACAACACCACACTAAACCACACACCCAAGAAACATATCACAGATATAATGTACCTACCCCCCAGAGGGAAGGTCAGAACCAACAAAAAAGACTGGGGGAACACACAGACAAAGGACCACATCCAGATGCACCCCCTCCTGCTTCCCTTAGTAGCAGTGCTACTAATAACAACAAGTATGTTAAAATATCCCATGAGCTTGAATGTTTAGTAGCTCAGCCAGCCTTGACGGGTGGATCATCTAAAGCTGCAGACCATGATGTAAGTAGTAGAGGATACTGCCAACATGAATGTTCTCCAGCTATATTTAGACACGTTTCCTCTTTATACATTGCCATTTTACCATTTCTCCATAATTTATTAATGTGACTCACTAAGGGCAGGCTCTGTTGGAATTTTAACATTTTTTAATTACTTTCAAGCATGAAATTTTGGAAGCAACATTACTGAGTCATGACACACACTGGTTATAATAGTAAATATAACTGAATTTTTCAGAAGTACTTTTGATAGATATTTTAATAGTACTACGTTTATTTATGTTATATATATATTAAGTAAGGCAGGCTCTCAATTTATCTAATATTGGGATATAAAATAATAGTAATAAACGGCTTAAAATTCCAGTCTCTGTCTTATCTGTGTAAAATCTTACATTTGGATTTTTTCGCTCCCATTTTTAGAACATGACACCAAAATGAAACAAGTGTCTAAAACACTTCCTTGTTTGGAACACAGTATTTTCGTACACCAAATTAAAGAGTCATGAAAATCACAGGAGAACACTTAATTTNCTTCATAACTTTTAAAATGAATTTGTGAATAGTTTGTTGTGAGTTTAGATGAGTTTATTGTTTTTCCGTCTCCATTACTAAGTGTTTTCGCCGAAAGTGACTCATATTTTCATTCCTTATAATTTATATTCTGTTTCAATAGAATGTTATCTGAAAGCGCAGAGGAATTGATTACATGGCAACAGGTAGCATTCTTAGTTTGTGACCTTATATTGATCCATGTGCTGGAAAAGACGATGAGTCATTCATGACTCAGTGGCTTGTCACGCTTAAAATTCATACCCTCTTACAGTCTGATTTGAAGATACTGTTGATGTGTATTATGGCAAGTCATTAAAAAATTCCTTTTTTAATACGGGTGCTGCCAAAACCTTCCAACATCAATGTTTATATGTGAAAAATGGTACTGGAGAATGTATTTGATGTATGTACAATCATGTATCTAGAAACAGTCTTCTGTTTTATTTAAATAGTATGTTTCTATAATGCAGCCTCATATATTTAACTAAATTACATTATGGCCTTTTAGTGGTTTAAGGTTGGACAACCCTGCAGTAGACAATCTGAGGATACTGTAAGAGATTAGAAATTCATAAGTGGTGTGGCACTGCTGATGTACAGTACATTGGCAAGAGGCTGTTTAATTTTTTTCTTTGTTTATTGTTTTGTACTTATTTTATTTATTTAATATGAGCCAGGATAGCACAGTTTATAGCGATTATTTATGGTCTACACAACAGAGGGGTTGGAGTTGGAGTCCTGGTAGGGTCAGAAATCTTTTCCTGTCTACGTTGTTCAGACCGGCTATGGGGCCCACCCACCCTGCTATCCAGTGAGTACCTGGGGCTCTTTCCTCAGGGATAAAGTGACCAGGGTGTGAAGCTGATCAATCTAACTAGTGCTGAGGTGAAAAAACTTGGATCTATAAATCCGCTCCCCCATCCTCCTTCATGATGTAATGCTTAATTATTTAAGCACAGGGTCAACTTTACTTTTTATTTACTTGTTTTTGTTAGTTAATAATTGAGGAGTAATTTCAAGGAAATAGCGGCTCTGGTCCATAAAACCGAAATTAACTACCATGGGGGTTCGTTGCGCTGACCACGCGACCCTCTCTATCTGCTAAAATTGGCACTAACTTCACCGACAAGCGGCGGTCGCTCGGTGAGTGTAGTTCACTTGCAGATGAAAACCACGGAGTTTGAGTTTGCTGAATAAGTACAGAGATAACTTAACCTTTACCACATCATTTGTTAATGTTATTTAAGATACCTGTATGTTTATGAATTGTTATCCCAAATGGATAGCTTGCTTCTGTGAGAACTGGTTGTAAACATCCATGTGCTATAGTGCATTGTATGTGTACTGTTGTAGCTGGGTTTGGCTGGTGCCCTTGCTCAAATGACTCTTGGAGTTCCTCGTTCAGCTGAACAGACAGCATTTGAGGAACACATGAGGAAACAGGCATGGGAGCAAGGCAACATGGACTACATGGGTCGTGACTCATTTGACAACATCTGGCGCAAGATTACAGAAACATTGGCCGAGGCACCTCCCAAACCAGAGACCCAGAAAGCTGCCACAGGTGGGAGTACATCTATTTGAAAACATCATTACTTCTCTACTACTGCTGTTTTTTTTTCCTGGCTGCAGCTCGATCTTATATTCCTTCTTCTAGAAGCTCATTTGGTTAATGCTTTGTTGTAGTGTTTATATGCATTGTATCTATTGCTTTCAATAATTGCTACTCAGTTGACAAATTTAACCCTAGAAGTGCCAATTGTCGAAAATGTTGGCCTTTACAGAAACGGTATTTCTGACAGCATATGACATCTATTGGCAGTTTACCTGAACTTCATAGTCCAGAAACATATGGAGGGACCCTTTTCTGTCCATTCAAATTTGTTGGGGTGTTTGTATGTACATTATTCATCCATGGTTTTACTTTGGGAATTAAAACTGGTGCTTCTAGGGTTAATATAGCATCATGTTATGAAATAATATTGACCAGAATGAAAATGGCTAATTTGATGGAGTTGTGCTGGTTGAGAGAATTGTCTAAAAGTTATTTTAGATTGAATATTTGGAAAGGCTGTACAAATAAAATTGTTCATTTTTATCCAAATACATGTAAAATATGGTAGTGGAAAGTGGGACAGAGGTCCAACAAGTTCACTTCCACAGGTGTAGCTCACCTCATACTTCTAACCTCTTGTGTGAAGCTCCGTAGTTTGCTGTAAGTTTTCTTTTTTTTTTTCTTTTGGAGGGGGGATGACCGGCTGTTTCAGTTTGGGAGAGAAATCGTTGCCTGAAGATAGAGATTAAAGATGTCTGGAATGTTAAACTTCTGTGGCTGGCAGCCCTTATTTTATTTCTTTTGGCCCCCGTAAAAGCTTTAAGGACCGCCTCTGTGGTCTAGTTGTCAAGAGTTCCTGGCTACAGATCCAGAGGTCTCGGGTTCGATTCCCGTCGCTTTCAGATTTTCTGAGAAATAGTGGGTCTAGGACGGGGTCCACTCAGCCTCGTGAGGATAAATGAGGAGCTATTTCAAGGAAATAGTGACTCCGGTGTAGAAAACCGGGATTAACGGCCATGGGGATCCGTTGCGCTGACAATGAGACACCCTCTATCCGCAAAAGTTGGCACTAACTTCGCCGACAAACGGCGGTCGCTCGGTCGGTATAGTTCGCTTGAGGACTACAGGTCACGGAGTTTGTTCGTTTTTTAAAGGCTTTAAGTCTTAAAAAGGTTTATAACAGAGGTCAAAAGTATGTAGTTTTACCACTTTGCATGTATGTAGAAATGTTTAAACAGATGTGTCAAAAGACGCTAACAGGCATATTGGCTAATGAGAATTTTGGTTGAACATATTGGTTGGCTCTTTGGAAGTATTTTTCACAGAACGGATTTCTAAGAACCTATCATGAACACTTGTTTAAGGCATTTTAAAATTTGTAGTGTCTCTGCCAGGTGCATTAATATTGCGTGCTTGGCATTATATGATTCATATTTTTGACATAGAATCCCTTAGGCTTCTCTCAAACATATCCATTCTGCGTTGCTGTGTAGGTCTGAATTTCAGCACTTTGAAATTTCTTTTATATTAAGCACTTGTTCACTCATGTCCATCCCTAATTCAGCCCAAGTTCGTTCACAGTCTCTCCTTTGTTTTAAACTGTCATTCAAATCACATTAAATTGCAAAATGTTTCAGTCTTAGAAAGACATCTTCAGGCAACTGTTCACCAGTTGAAACTGCCACACTGCCCAATTCCTATGCCAGTACATCCCATGCTGTCGTATATCGTCGTTCGCACTAAAATGTGTTTGTTTGAGAATGAACACTCTCTCTTCGCTCTGCTTCATTTTCATTTTGCGGCCTCCGTGTTGTGCTCCCCGTCTTGTGTAGTCCTCATTAGTCGGCTCTTATGTCCCTTTTATTAATTTTAACATAAAGGAGAGATTGTGAACGATTTGGGGTTGCATTAGAGACAGAAATTAATGAACGAGTGATACGTAAATGCAACAGGATGCTGAAATATAATATTTTATATTAATGGTGTGTGAAAAAAAAGAAAAGAAAAAAAGAGAACGTAATTATGGCATACTTGGCAGCATAAAGAGGCATAAACATATTTTATTTTGAGATAAGTATAATTTATTTTTCATAATGGAAAACTACATTTTCTCTTATGCTTCTTGTTCTCAAAACCACGACATTCTGCACTTAAGCAAAAATCACATTTTGTGTGTATCTTTATCAGATTTCGTAAGAAGCATAAACCAGATTGGTATAAATCAGCCAAATTTTATTAAAATAAGTTTATATTATTGATAATTTGAAAATCATGATTATAATATTGTCCGATTTTCATGAATTTTGATTCTCCAAAATGACTGATCTGGATTTGTTCATGTATGTTGTGTATGTCGGCAACAAAATTGAAGACTGCGTCTAATTTTTCTTATCTTTAATTGAACATATCTGGTCAATTATTTAGTGACCAATGCCAGCACAATTTCAAGTTTGCTTCAGTTGTACTGTTTTAGAGATCTCTGTATACTCAGTGGATATATGCAAAGTGCTTCTTAACTTCACTCACAAATGTAACTGTAACCATTTTTTCATGCTCACTCTGGATGTTTGTGTACGGGATGAAGTGTATTGAGGTGAGTACTGTAACACTTTGCTAAAAAGAATAATAATGCAAAAAACTCTTGCCTCTTACAATAATATTGTTAGTTATAGCTCATGCTTGATACTGTTTCTTCCTGTTTTCAAGCAGCTAAAGTGTGGCATAGTTCATTTTTGTAGTTACATTTAACTCTTAATTCAGAATTGCAATTGAATATTCTCACCAGATGAAACTTTGAATTTTATAATATTGAAATCCTTACCTAAGCAGAGCAGCCTTCACCCCCTCTCTTATCTATATAATTAGTAATTGTTTTCTTACATTTAGATTTTTGCTGGCTGCAGGGGCATTTTACCCAATGGAAAAAGTGGGCAATTCCCCAGGACTCCCATCACACCAGCGTTTATACCACATGCTTAAACCTCCCCACGCTATTTATGAATATTTTCAGAGTATGTCTTAGGGCATATAAGTCTGTCATAATTATTTTATATTTCTATTTACAAAATTTGAAAAGTCTCTAATAGCTATTTCAGCCTGTTATTTTGATCTGCGTATGAATATAAAATCTAAGGATGCAAAACACAGCACTAGATACTTTTTTGTGTTGATACATTAATATATCATACTTCTTCTCTGAATGTATAAAATCACAAGTAATATATTCTTAAAAAGTAATCTCAAAGCAAGATAATTTTTAAATTATATTTTTAATGTTTTCCTATCATTTTTACTTCTGTTAATATAAGTAAATTGTGTAGTGGTATCAGATTGTGAGGTTCTTTAACAGGAATTAAGAGGGGAGGGGAGAAGACCATATACTTTGCCCAGGGTGCACCACTGCCTGAAAATAGACTCCGGTTGGTGAAGTTTATTCCAGACATTTTACTGCTATTAACTTTTAGAGGTAAAAAAATAGAACCACCTCATTTGAAAAAGGAAGATAATTAAATTACGATGTTTTGCTATGTTTCCTTTCAGGAGAGGTTCCAACCATTAAGCCTATACCAGAACCAATCCCCCTTTTATCAGAACTTGCAGAACCAAAATCCACTACACTTCCTTCAACAGGTGCTGATGAAACACCAGGAATTACAAGCTCTGCAACTAAACCAACAGAACCTACTCTTCTGATGACACAAGATAGTGAACCATCACTACCAAAATCTGCAGCACCTTCTGTACCTTCAGTTCCTCCTGAAGGACCCACACCATCTCCCTCTCCAGGTGACCAGGTTAAAGTTGAACAAACTGTCCCACACACACCATTAGTAACTGAGGCGACACCTCCCACATCCCCACCTGTAACCGCATCTACAGCTGACAACAGAGCACTTACAGTTGATGTATCGCCACTGGAAACACCTCCACTGGGATCCACGCCTGAAAAACCTTTATCTGACACGCAAATACCTGCCCCGGCCACGCAAACTGTACAGGTTTCAGAATCTCCTGTACAGGCAGAAGCAGTATATGTTTCAGAACAGGAAACAAAATCAACTGAAAGCAAAGAGCTACCAGTTCCTACACAAGGAATTCCATCTGCTATACCAGCAGAAACAAAACCCACTGAAGATCTATCTGCATCCCAGGAAACACTGCCTGCACAGAAGAGTCCTGTATCACAACCATCTCCCACTCAAGAGAATCCTCCAGCTTCTGTGGCTTTATCCTCCCCAGTGCCATCTTCTCTACAAGAAGTTCCTGTAATCCCTTCTATCCCACAGGTGCCTCTAACACAAGAGAGTCTTTCAGCTGTTTCTGCACCTCTGGCTTCCATCCCAGAACCATCTCAAGTACCAGAGGTTCCTGTAACCTCTTCAAATGCACAGGCGCCTCCCGCACAAGAGAGTGCATCAGCTTCCATCCCAGAACCATCTCCTACACCAGAAGTTCCTGTAACCCCTACACTCGTTCATGTACCTTTGACTCAGGAGAGTTCATCAGGTTCTCTACCTTTAGCTTCCACCCCAGAACCATCTCCAGTATCAGAGGTTCCTGCAACCCTTTCAGTTGCACAGGTGCCTCCCATTCAGGAGAGCTCATCTGTTCCTGTACCTCCAGTTTCCACCCCAGAACAGAGTCCTGTAGCTTCACCTATACCTCAACAACCACCTCCTATACAAGAGGTTCCTGCAGACCTTACAGTTCCTCAGCAGGCAGCTTCTACAGAAGAGGCTCTTGCGACTCCTGTAACCAAACATGTTGAACAAAAGGAACCCTCATCTGTCCAGCAACACCTCCCTCCTACACCACCTGCAAGTCCTGATTCAGTAGAAACAAAACCAGTTCTGGCTTCACCTTCAACTCAAGCCCCTGTTTCATCTGAGAAAACAGAAGTAAAACAAAGGGAACAAAAGGGATCCCCACCTGCAGACAAAACAGAATCTCATTCTGAATCTGCAGCAGAAGACATTCATCAAAAACCAACAGCTCCTGTTCAGGCATCCACAACAATAGATAAAACAAAACCCACCCTCTCAGAAACTAGTCCTGTAATAGAGAAACAAGATCCTGAACCCACACCAACTGCAGACCAGAAGGTTGGTCCACCTGTTCCACCATCTCCTGGTCTGTTGCCTTCTGCACCAGCAGAAACTGCACCCACAGCGGCTCCTCCACCTTCAAAACCTGCACCAGCTGAACCTCCATCTCCTGCACCTTCATCAAAATCTAAGGAACCTCCAAAGACACCTACACCTGCAAAAGCTGAAGGTCCTGCTCCAACAGCCCCATCAAAAACACAATCATCTCCTGTTCAGGATGCTCCAAAAAAAGCAACAGAAGCAAAATCTTCTACTGGCGAAAAGGAGGGCTCTGCTCCTTCAGCACAGTCAAAACCTGAAGAATCCCCAAAGTCGGTACCATCAAAGCCATCAGTTTCTGAATCTCCTCCCTCAACACCAGAGGCATCACCCTCAGATCAAGCTCCTGTACCTCCCAAACGACGTGGTCACAAAGGGGTAGGGACTGCACCACCAGATCAAGGAGCTGCTAGCAAGCCTGCAGCACAGTCTCCTCAAAGCAAAGGTCCTAAACCAGGGCAGAAAAGCAAGAAGTAATAATGATGTCACTATTCTCTTTGCCTTTCTAATTACAAGCACTGCACTATCTTACGATGTGCCTTCATCCAAGCTTAAAGTGAATAATTTAATGTTCCACTGCATGTATTCATTGAGATTTGTGTTCTTTCCCAAAACAGGATAATGAAATACATACATTTTACACGTGTGTTGCATGATGATTGGCACAAACTGAAATTAAAAATAGATATTTAGAGTGTAGTTGGAAATTTGCTTCATTGTAATATAAATTATGTAGATGTTCAGCTCAGTATATGTTATAAAAGTAACTAAAGGTTGAATTGTTACGGTGAAAGCAGAGCTGTACTTTGATAAGAATATCGAAATGTATGTTGATATTTCCCCCCAAATTTCTTTGTTACCTGTACTTATTTTTTCTAGTGCTTTTCAAAGCACGGTGAGAAAATAATGATTACTTTGAAGTGAAGTTGTTTCCCTGCCTTTTCTTTATTCCTGTATTTAAGTGCCATGTATATGTGACCTGAAGTATTTAAATTTTAAAGTATATTTTACTTTCTCAAAATTCATATATAGGTCATTGAAATGTGATTATTGTAACAGGTGCAGCACCTGGAACTTTGCCTTTATTCATTTGTAGTTCTTGCGTATTGATGATTCATTCAGAAGTGAGGAATACTCGTGTGTTTATAATAAATATCTAATTTACACAATTTGTTGTTTATTTTAAGCGTGAATTGTTAACACATTTAATATAAGTAAGTGTTGAGTTTTAGGAAATGTTACTGAAATTTTGTACTGGAAATAATGCAATAACTACATTAAATGAATGGAAACATAGTGTTTATTTTTTTAAGCTATTTAAATGAATGTGTTACATAGAAACTAATGCAATATTTGAATGTAGAGCACACTTCCTTTTAATTTAAAGAAATTTTTCCTTATTTCTGCTTCCTTTCACTGGAGCCTGATTAGCACAATTACCAGCATAATAGGACTGAATTTGACTAGGGAATTTGTAACAATTGTGGTGCTATACATGATTATACTGGTATTTCTCAGCAAGCCATTCACAGTCATAAGTAAGCAAATATGATATTGTTTAAAGTTCATGATTTATTAGAATAGTATTTATAATTTTAAAATTCTTGTTAAATGTTATTTTCAGAAATAGGTTTTCGTATCTTGATGAGAGTTCTCGTTTACTGTAGTTCTGACATACTTAAATTGAAATAGTTAAGAAATTAAAACAGTTGATATGATTTACATAAAATAATGCTCATATTTCAACCAAGTGTAGAACAGTTTCAGTTCTCTGTACACTTAATTAATCTGTATTGAATTCTTCTGACTCTAAATTTAAATGTTACATTAGTCAGGAATTATATTTAAATCAACATATGGCTGAAACTCCCTGATGAATACATTACATATAATTTGTGAGTTATGTGTATGGTCTTTCATTGAGCACACAAATCAGGCAGTAAGGATACAAGATAGTATTTTGCAAGACCACTCAACTGGATGTTGAATATGAAGGTTATATATAATCTGAGCTTGTTGCTAGTTACTGTGCCACATTTAGAGGTTAGAGATATTTGTTAAACATCCATTGTCAATAAATAGATGGCAGGATTATGTGGAAATTTAATTTTTGAATGAGTTTGTTCACAAAGAAAGGTCTTAGCAATGGATAAGGGCAAAATTTAAGTGAACTTTGAATTGATTTCCTGTCATGGTATTACACTTTGTTTCATTAAAATGTTTGTAAATTCCTTAGCTACGAGCAGTTTACTGTCAAGTAAAGTAAAACTTTCTATTCAATATTACTTCATATGATGCAATGTTTATGTTGCATTTTATAAGAAGCTTCTCATGACAGGATGATATAAGCATTATAAAGAGGCAATTTTTCAAAGGCTGTTCAGTGGAGAAGGTTCAATAGTCAGTATTGTAGGTCTCCATTTTCCTTAAGTTGTGATATGAGATACCAATTTACAATTCTGCCCTAGGTCTAGGGCTCATTTTCTCTAGTGGCATACAATCCTAAGTCTTGTTAGTACCATTTTAAAAAGATTCAAATTTGAAATAAATTTCCGACACTGAAAACTATACAATAATGGCATTCATATTAAAAATTTGTGCAGTCAGGATGGAGCCATTCTGGTGAATTGGAACTTTTATAATTCACCTTTTATTTTTTGTATTTTAAAAATTATTATTTACTAGATATCATTCCACCCTCTGACTGTGTCACATTGGTGTGCTGGCACCTTCTTTTGTAGGGAAAGAAAGATACCTAATAGGTGTATGTTTGTTTTTATGTTCTGATTTCTGTAACATAAAGATCAACATTGAGCTCTAAGGAAGTTTGTTTAATTATTGCTCTTATTTTAATTAATTACATTTTGAATTATATATGAAAATTAACTGGCCTGGAAGTTGAGAATATCTAGTGTCATAGATGTGAGAAAATTATTTTGGTATGTTGTGTGTATTACACGAGCCATGTTTAAAATGTCTGGGTGTATTTCCAAACCTTCGTTCAAGAATCCTTTGTATTTAATGTTATCAGTTTATACAGTATGCCCAAAAGCCAAAAGATGTTACCTTATTATTTTTAGATAATGTTTTTATTGCAATGTAGTGACATAATATGCCAAAATAAGCACATCTGTTATCTGTTCTACAGATATTTTGTTTTCCTATAAGATCTAGTCTAGATACATTTGCTAGATGTATGTTAATTGATTGTGAGTTCCACATATGTACATTTTACTACATTCCTAGTAAAAATAAGTATCTGCAATGTTTCTATACTACCTTGAGTGAAGTTATGCAAAAGTCCTTATAGACTTGACAATATTTGATTGTCCTCCTGAACTTGTAAGTTCTAGTGGTGATAGAAATAATCACTTTTCTAGACCATAATCTCACCTAATGACAATAATTGATGACTGAAAACGTGAAAATGCCATGACCTTATACATGAGTTCGTTTATGTCAGTGAAAGTGTAAATAAATATAATGTGATCTTAATTGACCAAAATGGTATGTTGTAAGATCACTTGCTGGGGTAGCAGCTTTAGCAGAAGATGGAACAATGTAAATTTAGCATACATGTAGCAAATAGTGATGACTGATAAATACTGAACATCATTGAATTCTTCCACTAGTTTAATATGAAGTGTCAAGTACAGGACTGAAGGACATGAGCAGCTATACATCTTGAGACACTGTTAGGTTAAGATTGCTAGTGAAATAAAATGTGTGATTAATTAACAATATGTATATTATTGTCAAAATAAAAATTCAGTTTTTTAAAGTAAAAATTGTTCATTCTGTATATGTGAAAGAGAGAAAATTGTGCTAGTTATAAATTCTCAAGTTGTTATCATTTTCATCAAATGATAGATTCATCTGGGTGAGTCTTTTCATGGCAGAGCCTTCTTCATTGATGTCTTTTCTCCCATAATCATTGCTCTTGTTTTTGTCCAGTTTCCCTGTTTTCTCATGTGAGAGGCATTGTTCAACTGGGAGAATGGTTATTCTAACTTATTTTCCCCATCTTGATACATAATTGCCAGGATAGTACCTTTAAATAGGTCATTGCTCCCTTTCACATCCCTTCCAGGCTACCACTCATAACATTGTATTACTCATTTGACAGTACAGTCTGAAGTATATACATCGTGTGAAATCATGTATGGACACTTAACAGATTTGACAGAAGGAATTTTAAATGCTTCAGTGCAGTCTTATAATAATTATGATTTCAGAATGAAAGACTTGGGCAGCACAACCCGTTTACTCATATATTTCTGAATTAATGTGAAAGGAAGTTTTATTTAATTGCAGTTAGAAATAAGCTAGTCTGATGATCTTTGAGTATTAGGAAGACCACTGTTGATTAACGAAGTTTTTTTTTAATTCATAGCAAATTTACAATCTGCTCTTGATAATACAGAGTAATAAGTAGATTTGTTCTAAGTAGGTGTCTTGAGTAGAGAAGGCATCCACTGCTGATACTGAGAGACCCTGTAGAGGAATGGTGATGGTTTTAATTTTCATCATCTGCTAGTTGTGGTAGGTCAGACAGCAACTGTTTCCTCAGTCTTCATACATTTGCTGGGTTGCTAATTTGTACAGCTAGTCTGTTATCGTGTTTGAGTATGCTTTGATGGTAGAGTGTTGACAATCTATGTATTTCTTCTGTGACACATGGAAGTTGCAGATCATTGTGGATAGTAAAGTTGGAGACATACCAAGGTCCAATGGTTACTGAGTACAAATGTTTGGATTGAAATTTTTTAATTATTTTTGTGTCTGATGGTTTTGTACAGCCCCATAGCTGTATACCTTATGTCCATGTGGGTTTTATTGTGCACTTATACAGTTGAAGTTTACTTTCTATGCATAGCTTGGATTTAAGGCCCAGAAACCAGGACATGTCATCCTTTGTTTAATCATCTCAAATCCATGACATTACAGGAATTCTACACTGAACATAAAACGTGTACGTTATTTCTCGTTACAGCTTGGAAATGTTTTTTTCTCCAACTAATGTTAACAAGTTACACCTGAGATAACCCAGAAAAGTATGTTTTTCGACATGTAGCCATTATTTTTGTGAAATGTTAGCCAAAACTAGAATCAATTGTGTGTACAGACTATCCGATGGAGGAAGCGGCTTCTTCGTTTATACAGCATGAATGAGTTGGATTTTACCCACCAGGGATACATGGCAGGTAGAGAAAATATTATTTGTTCTTTGGATACGAATAGTGAGGGACAATAGCAAGGGAAAGATAATGGTGTAACTTATGCGGATTTTGCACATAATTCAGTTGGAGGAACTGAGGAAAACTATGACTGAACAATCATCAAATTGAGAAGCGTGTTGTATGTACTAAAGTTTCGCTGTCCATCTAGTGGTGGCATTATGAACTATTTGTATTTGTGAACTGCTGGTGCTGCTCGTGTTGGAATACGGAACTTTTCACTGGGACTACATCTCCACCGAGGATCATTTCCGTTGAGGTTGTGTTGAGGTGGTGAGGCTCGCATTCCAGACCAGTGCGACAACCGCCAGTGCGCGGAGAGAGTACGGAACGAGAGGGACGGATGTCTTGGATGTTAGGGTTTGGGGAGTTGGGGGAGTTTTGTTTGTTGTTACGTTTATAAAATTAACGAGAGAAGTGCTGGGGGAAGGTTGTGTTTACAACTTAACATTTGTTTAACGAACACAGGTTCATCATGGCGCTGAATCCGGACTCTGAGCAACACAAAGGGAACTTGGTTGTACGAATAGACGAAGATTCAGATTCAGATCTGCAAGCACTTTTCGACAGCGTCTTAAAACCTGATTCGAAGAGACCATTACAAGTGCCATTACGCATGCGTAAACTACCAAATTCTTTCTTTAATCCTCCGTCCACTGGTTCGAAATCTCCGTCCGTATCGTCTATATCACACAGTCGTGAAAATTCAGCGGATTCTGCTTTCGGCACGGCTTCTGTTGGAGCAGGACCAGGGGGTACAACGACAACGTCAGCATCTGGCGCCAGTGGGTTACAGGTGAACCACCCGCGGGCCCACAGCTCGCCGGCATCGCTTCAACAAACTTACGCTTCAGCTCAACAGCAGCAGCATGGCCACCTCAAACAGAGGAGCTATGACATCACACCCGTCGACGAATTGGGGCCCTTACCACCCGGTTGGGCGCAGGCCAGGACGCCGGAGGGCCAAGTTTACTACCTCAAGTGAGTGTTTTACATATCGATGCCAGGGTTACAGGGCAGCCAGCATGAAAGTTTACCACTGTTGAAATTCAGGTGTATAATAATATGCACAGGGCATAGATTTGGTTGGTTGCTCCAGCGTGTCCTTAAGCCACAGCTGCATGTTCGCTGTGACCGTCGACCGTATGGTTTTTGAAGTGACGGAGTTTTGTTGAGGTTTCGTTGACATACTGTCATTGGGGTATAATGTACATGTTAAATTTTCAGTCAGGCTGTGGCTGAATTTTTGTTTATCCATTGTTGGCGATTTTGCCCACGTTGCTATAATTACGAATTTTATAGCGATCAGCGTATTGTTACCAACTTTTCTGGCAAAGATATTATGACTGGCATTAAAGATGCGCACGATTGCACATTACCTCCATGGAGCTGAGCCCTTCTCGAGAAGCCGCCAGTTGTACAACTGCTCAAGAATTTTCTAACATCCTGGGGCTTACCCAGCCTCCTATTAAATGGGTAACGGGGGCTCTTTCCCCGGAGGTAAAGTGGCCGGGGCGTGAAGCTGACCTTCACTTCCAAGTAGTGCCGAGGTAAAGAAAATGTGGATCTATACAGCCACTCCCCAATACGCCTTCATGGCGTCTTGCTTAATTAGTTAAGCACAGGGAAAACTTCACCTTTACCATAGACTTGAACAGCGTAAATGTATTTTTGTAAGCAATTTCCCCCCCCCCTCCTCGAGAACTGACTCCGCCCCGGAAAATATCCTCGAGGCGCCCACAGTTTTCTGTAATTTGTTTCCCCATCCACTGTAACAAAACAGGTTTCAGAAATTTTTAAACAGCCTGATGTAATCTGAAGTTTAAGATTCTCGTAGTTGTGCCTGGGGTGTGGCGCCTTCGGGTCTGAAGAAGTAAGCAGCAGGTCCCTCCGAAGCGTCGGTAAATACACGGCCTCACGTCCCAGATGACAGTGTTTTCGTGAAGTGTTAAGGAGTATTTGTCCCAAATGTCATGACATTATTTTCCTTAAGTACGAGTGAAAGCGCCGTGGTCGTGCAATTGAAGAAAGCCGGATCCTGTATGTCTTGATGCATATATAATGGGCTATACAGCCTTAGGCTACTTATGCGGTCATGTTAAAAGAGGTTATGAACATGTTTACTGTTATGTTGACAAGGAACATAATTGAAGCGATTTTAATGCAGCTTTTCTTTTAATTCATTAGAGCAGATTAATTAGAATACCTTGGTTAATCTCCTAATGTTAGCAAGGTTATTAACAGTTCAAACTGTGCGTCTATCACACAGACTTTGTTTCCACCAGATACAGCCATTTCAGGCTAAGCTTTGCTCACGTGACCATCTCTTTCTATAAACTGTCAAAACTAAACCAGAGTACTGTCTTCTTGAATGTGACGCTGGATAGTGGGGCAGAAGTTTACTAAGGTTTTGGAGGGTTTAACTATAAGGCAAATAACCAGCAAGAATCTGCCAGATATATTCCCCCCCCCCCCCATGTATTTTTGGTTAAAATCACATTCAACAAAAAAGGAAGTACACGAAATATTAATACAAAATTCTAAAGTGTTTTTTTAAATATATTTTTCTGTACCAAATACTGTAGGAGTCGGGATAGCGCAGTCGGTATAGTGACTAGCTACGGGCTGGATGGCCCAGGGATCGGAGTTCGAGGCCCGGTGGGGTCAAGAATTTTCTCTTCTCCACGTCGTTCATGTTGGCTGTGGGGTCCACCCAACCTCCTATCCAGTGGGTACCGGGGGCTCTTTCCCCCGGGGTAAAGTTGCAGGGTCGTGAAGCTGACCACTCACCTCCAACCAGTGCCGAGGTCAAGAAAATGTGGATCTATACATTCGCTCCCCCATACACCTTCATGTCGTAGTGCGTAATTAGTTAAGCACAGGGGCATCATTACGTTTTTTTTCCCCCTTGGCACTACAGCCCCAGTGGGCCTAGGCCTACCTCCATGAACTTCTCCGTTTACTTCGGTCTTTCTATATCTTACACGTTCGGTAGGACTCCTTGGGCGGGTGATAAGCCCGTCGCAAGGCCTCTACCTGTACACAAACACAGAAAAACGCGCACACACAAACTAAACATCCATGTCCTGAGTGGGATTGGAACCCACGATCCCGGTTCCCAAGCGAGTGAAGACACTACATGCCTTAGACCGCTCGGCTACCGTGACCAGCCCAGCTTGTTTATAGTTCACTGAAATTTAATCATTGTCTAAACAATTTTTGACGGCACCTCGTACCTTCAGAAGAAAATCTTACGGAAGAAAAAAGTCCCTTGTGTTCAATGAAATCTGTATGGCGGTGGTTTTCGTCCTGTGTTCAAAATGGGATATAGTAACTTATTGATGTGAAAATTCGTGATAGCTCAATCAGCCTCCTGTACAATGGGTGCCGAGGGCCCTTTCTCTGGGGTTAAAGCGGCTGGGGCTTGAAGCTGAATAATCACCATCTAGTACAGAGTTCAAGAATGATGGAGCTGTTACCTCCATTTCCCCATTTGTCTTCATGGCATAATATGCCGTATTTACGCATGTATAGGCCGCAGCACTATTTTCAGACAGAAATTATAGGAAAAATAATTTTCTTGGAATATTATTTCAGGAGTATTACGCCCTGTATTACTAATTATGAATATAATTTTTTTTAAATGAAGTGTGATTTCGAATCACCCCAGTTTTCCTCTTGAATTTTTGGCAAAAAATGTGCGGCCTATACATGCGTAAATACGGTAATTAAGCACAGGGACAATTTTACCTTTACCTGTAACTTTGTAGTGATCAGGTAAGGATGTATGTATACTCAAGAGATACTGTAGACACAGCACACAGACACGTTTGTTGATTTTATTATGTTTTTCGTTTATTTGGAGTGCCAGTCACAGTGTCCGCGCGGTCAAAGGCATCAACTGTCTTCTCTGAAACACTGGAATCGTGGATTCGAATCCAACTTGAGGAACGAATGCCTATGTGTTTTTATTCTCTCCTTATGCTGTCCTGTGTGTAGTTAGCGGCCTTGCGACGGGCTGATCCCCCGTCCAAGGAGTCCTACCGACTGTGTAAAAGATCAAGATACTGAAAAAGCGGCCAAGGCCCATCCAAGGTCTGCAGAGCCATAAATAGGTAGGTAGGCAACCCCCTCTATTATATAATATAGTAAATAACACGCTGTGGATGCTGTGAACCGATTGTCTAGAAAATGTGGGAGCCTCGACGTCTCAGAACCCTTTGAGCCATCACGGCCTGTTACAGGGATAGCTTTACTTTTTCCTTTTTAACCGATGGCTCCACTAGCTTTACATACATGTAAATTTACACTAAGTACGTGATATATTAATTGTAAATAACCGGATCTGAAGAAGGCATACATATGTCGAAACATGTCCTAGACTAGCGTTATGTTGACAAGGATGAAATAAACATCTCTAGGATAGCAAAGTGTCAAAATGAAGTAAAGGCGGTTTGTCTGATGTTCTGTGGCAAACCTTGGTTTTGCTTTAAACGCAAGCAGAAAAGTGACATCACTGTAATCACCACGTGATGTTGGTGAGCAGATAAGGAGCGCACTGCGAGTCCAAAACAGTTACTGCTTGATGATCATAAATACATTTTCACCGAATTTATAACTAAACACGTCTTATCGTCCATACCGTTATCTCTTAACGACAGAGTATATATCTGTTTTGTTTTAGTGATAGTTAAAATTAAGATTAAAATGATATGAATGGAAGCTGCGAAATTCGGAGCTTCTTGCTTTTTGGCAGCATCTTCCAGCGTCCCGGAACCCTGTAAGGGGCCGCCGAACACTGGGGTTATAAGTCTAAAATGCGGCCGTTTTAACTTACGAACATACAGTTTCCTATTAGACTTGAAAGGATTCTGACGATGATGTATTCTGTACAGAACTATAAGCCTTATTTTGGACTTTATCCATCGTCTGCAGTGATTGAGACTGACTCTTTCTAACGGGCCCAACTGAGTAGGTCTATCTTGCCCCATCCGCCTGAGGACGGAGACAGATCCAGTCTCCGAAACGTTGTGGTTTTCTGTCTTATACATACCAGACGATGGATAGAGTCCAAAATAAACCTTATAGTTCTGTAAAGTTTCCTACGGAAAGTACTTCAGATATACCGTTAAGGTTCGTTTGTAATTACTTCTTAAAATTGCTTATCACGTTTAAGTATAATTGTTCTTACGTTATAGGCGGCTGAAATTTTGTTCACATCAGAGGGAACCTCTGCTCCATGTTACGAATATGAGTTGTTCACAGAATTACTTGGTTTTTGGACTTTTTCCGTCGTCCGGAATTCTAGGTAATACATAGAAGACACGACATTTCGGAAAGTAGATTTTTTTCCGTCTTCAGCTGAGGAAGGAAGACGCCTACTCAGTTGGGCCCCTTAGAAAGAGCTAATATCAATCACTGGACAACTCCTGTCAGATTTACCCAGCTATTTCAAGATATAAGACTAGGCTAGTTCAGCGGGAGATAACAAGAAACCATAAAATAAAGTTGTGATAGAGGATACACATGCGTGGATTCGACCAGTACTTCCGATGTGAAATTTGTAGAATTCACGGCGGTGACTATGAAGATTAACTTGTGGGATGTGACGCCGTATAGTGTGGTGACGATTTCGAAGGAACGTTGTGCCATCATTATGCGGTCTAAAGATGGCTCTACATGTTGGGCCTTGGCCGCTTTTTCAGTTTCTTAATCCTATACACATTCGGAAGGACTCCTTGGACAGGGGATCAGCCCGTTTTAAGGCCGTACCTGCACACAGGACAGCACAAACAGAATAAACGCACACAGACATCCATGCCTTGGGTGGGTTTCGGACCCAGGATCCCAGTGTTAGAGCGGGCGAAGACGGTTCATGCGTTAGACCGTGCGGCCACTGTGATCGGCCCGGTCTGGAAATGAGGACGGTAAATACTCACCAGACTACACGGCATCGCTTCTCAGAAGACAGTAATATCTAA